TTTATGTACAATTCCCATGGAGGTCATCTCATCCTAGGCAAGCTGACAACAAGAATCTTGCACTAAAGAGACTCGAAAGTCAATATAGATCGTTTGTCAACAAGCCAGATCTATGGAAACTCTATGCTTCTACAATTCAGGACTACTTGGACAAAGGAATAATCGAGGAAGTCGATGAAGACCGTTTCGACGATCATAGAGTCTACTATATTCCTCACCAAGCTGTTGTCAAGGAGTCCTATGCTACTACTGAGCTTAGAGCTGTCTTTGACGCTTCGTCTCATTATAAAGGGGCGCCTAGTCTCAATGATTGCCTCCACTCAGGTCCATCCATTCTTCCAGATCTTGTGGGAATCCTTCTCCGATCACGCTTCAACCCCATTCTCCTAATTTCAGATGTAGAAAAAGCTTTTTTACAGATTCGCCTTCAACTTAGTCAACGGGACGCCACACGATTCCTATGGCTTGCGAATCCATTATTACCGCCTTCGGAAACCAACCTTCGGATTTTTCGATTCACCAGAGTTCCTTTTGGTATTACTGCCTCACCTTTTTTACTTGGGGCCTCTATTCTCTATTACTTGCGACGCGACCCGCACTCGACCCTCAACAAGGAAATCGAGAACAACACCTACGTTGACAATATCGTATTGGGTGCGTCTTCAGTACAAGAAGCGATACGTAAGTACAACGACTGCAAGGAATTGTTTGCTTCCATGAATATGAATTTGCGACAGTTTCTTTCCAATTGTCGTGATGTTAATGATGCTATCAATGCCTGTGATCGTATGTCGTATTCCACATTTGTTTCCTTGCTAGGCATTCAATGGAACCCCAGCCGGGACACTTTCTTCATGCCAATCAAGACGGCTCTTCAAACAGTTGTTTCTAAGCGCACTGCGCTTCGCGCACTTGCGTCAACCTTCGATCCCTTAGGTCTGCTATCCCCCTTTCTTGCACCGTTTAAAATCTTTCTGCAAGATCTGTGGGCTAAGTCCTACCAATGGGACGACCAACTCGACGCTGCAGATCTTGCTCGTTGGAATCAACTCTTACACGACTTAAAGAGCCCCATTCCACCAATTCAACGTTGCGTTATTCCTTCAACCCATCAATCGGAAGTCCACTTTGAACTTTGCGTTTTCGGAGATGCGTCCAAGCGTTTATACGCTTCTTGTGTATACCTTCTTTGTCGCACTAGTTCGTCCACAACGACTCATCTTCTTATAGCGAAATCCTTGCTGGGACCACGTCAACCCATTACCATGCCTCGCATGGAATTACTCGCCACTTTGATCAGTCTACGCCTTGTCCAGTTCGTCCGCAGTCAACTACACCGCCCAGTGTCTGCTGTGCACGTCTTTTCTGATTCCCAAATAGTCCTCCACTGGATACACTCATCCCGTCCACTCCGTACATTCGTCAATAACAGAATCATCGAAATACGCGCTATTGTGGACAGTTTTCGCTCCTCTTCCATACCGCTTCAGTTCTACTACGTCCAGTCGGAAGACAACCCTGCCGATTGTGCATCACGTGGAATTCCGACCACTTCTATCAGAGACCATATTTGGTGGTCAGGCCCTTCTTTCCTTCGATTACCATCTTCAGAATGGCCGGGAGCGGATAACTTCACGATTCCACCGCACAACGACGACGAAGTAAAAGGTGAATATCAGACACTTCTAGTGCCTGAATCTGGACCATATACCTCACCATTTCGTTTCCGGTTCATCAGCCGGTATTGCAGACTCGTACGTTCTAGCGTCTACGCCCTGAAATTCATAGCAATTCTCGCCAACAGAATTGGTTACTCTACCCGGACCTTCGATTCCACTCAGTTCACTCCTTCTAAGGACATCTCCTCCACGGAATTCAAAATCACCGAAACACTGCTAGTTACAGAACACTATCGCGAGTGTGAAACACACCTCGCACGGATGCCGCTTCATCGCTTCAATGCTCATCGCTCACCGGATGGCCTTATTCGTTGTCCACATCGCATGGAGCATACAGCACATCCAGCACCTGCACCTATTCTTTTGGTTCCAAAACATCCCCTCGTCACCCTCATTATCTGTCATATTCATTTGCAACAATTCCACTCTGGAGTACACGCCACCATTGCTACGCTTCGTCGCTCCTATTTCATTCCTCATTTTCGGAGCACTGTCGCTAAAGTACTTCGTTCCTGCGTCATCTGCAAGAAGTTGAATGGATTGCCTTACCGTTATCCTGCCATGCCGAGTTTGCCACCACAAAGAGTCAACCGATCGAGACCCTTTCAAAATATCGGGCTGGACTATCTCGGACCTCTTAAGTACAGGGATACATCCACTACGTCATCAAAAGTCTGGATTTCCTTGTTCACCTGCATGGCCACTAGGGCTGTTCATCTTGAACTTGTTCTAGACAACTCCACCCAGGAATTCTTGCTTGCATTTCGCCGGTTCGTAGCACGAAGAGGAACCCCAGACTATGTTCTCAGTGACAACGCCTCTACCTTCTGTGCAGCAGCAAATGTGCTACGAGAACAGCTTTCAAGTCACTTCGCTAGCCGCCACATTGAATGGAAATTTATCACTCCGTTATCCCCCTGGAAAGGAGGGTTCTACGAGAGACTGGTCGGCCTCGTTAAATCCTCCCTTCGCAAATCTATTGGTCGTTCTCTACTCCCTTTACAACAACTTCAGACCGTTGTTTCTGAAATAGAAGCCATCCTCACCTCCCGT